TTGCGGATTTTCGTTTTTTAATTATGGGTAGATGGTGCTTTATAGGAATTGTATCCTCTCCAAGGACTCTGTTTCATCTGCTATCCAGTGTATTTATCTTGGTGTTTGTTATTGCAAACTAAATGCATTCCCAACTTAAGCATTCAGAAGAATTGAGATATGACAATCCAAGTAAACGGAATATAGTTTTTGTATCATATTCCAGTACGTATTGCAATTTTACTTGAAGGAACGTTTCAAATAATAAATAATATCAAAAAAGGTATTGCAGTCATAGAATTGAGTGTGCATACTTTTATTAATTAAGCCAACTAGATTACATAATAATATATTGAGAATGGTGTTGCATTGTACTAAAAAAACGGGGAATTGATTTTTTGCAACATTTCTAAGAAAACGCTATCATTAACTTGGGTGTGTGTAGATTGAGACTTTACTACATTACTGCTTTTGCTTAAACTTCTCGGTTCACCACAAACTTCTTTTTGGTTTTTGAAATGTTACATTTTCAATTTTTATAAGTAAAAATGAAATGTTATTAGGTTTCTGCTTTTGGTATTTCCTTTTTTTGTTGCTCTTTTAACTTCTTACGTCTTTGGAAGAGGATGTGGAAGAAAGTTAAAATATTGATTGGATCTTTGAAATAGCGCAAAAAAATTAGATTTACAAATTTTGAATTAACATCAGTGAGCCCCAAAATACGATTTATCAAGTTATTCAAAATATACCTCAGTTTCCCATTCGACTTCATTACTTTATACAAATTTTTTCCCCGGAGCCATCTTAAAATTTTAGAATCCATTCACTCTAGCTCGATGTGGCCACTTTTTGTCTTGATTATGGCCTTCAAACGGTGAAAAAACAAGTTCATGTTTCAAATCTGCTGGCATATTTTTTAGTCCTTATCTTGCTTTACAAAATGGCCCAGATGGAATAGTCCAACGGATTTGCATCGGCGAATTCGAAAGCCATTGTGTGGACAAAATGAAGGGTGGAATATGATTTTTTAACCATTCTTGGTTCACATAAGCTTTATAAGACAGTGCCGAGTCCTGTTGGAATATTTGCATACCCACGACTATAAAGCAACTTGGTGGCCATATCTGTATCGATTTGCGCGTGTCTGTTGAACTCAGGTGGCCATTAGTAGCCTCAAATTTTCGGTAGTGCGTTCAGTTAAGTAAACGCGAACATTTTGAGAGTTTATGGACTTCACAATGTAGAAATTTTTCTCATCAAAGAACACAATGTTTGGAAATTCAACACGTTTGTGCAAGCGTAACAACTCCTTTGCTCCTTTGTGTCCAACTTTTTGTTGCTTTGGTGTAAGATCTTGTGTCTTTTGGAACTTTTGGCTTTACCTTGAGCTCATCTTGGAATCGGATGTTTGGATGTTTCGTATGGATATTTATAATTCTTTGGCCATTTGATTACTTCTGCGACGTGGATTTTGTTTAAGTCATCATGTGATGTTGCTGTTATTTTTTCGTCCGCCACCATAGCGTTTGGCGATGCTACCTATACTATTATAACGCTTTATGGTACAAACTTCAAATATTTTATTCATTTTGAAATGTTTAAGTTCACGAACAATAGATAGTTGTGATTTTCCAGTCAAATATAACGCAACCACACTATTACGTTTGAATTCCTTTTCGAATTACTTTTGTTCTATAAAACTTAGCCGGAAATACTTGTGGTATCTTGTAAATATCTTGTATTTCACATAGTTGGCAATATTAGTTTGACAGACACACCTGTGTGCAGTTGGTAAAACTTCAATCGTCTAATCCTGTACATCTAATATATGGTATATTACATGCCCATTAATTACATTCTAAAAAATATAAATTTGAAATGAGCAACAAAAATATAAATTAATTTTAGTTACATTAATAACATGTTTATAGCGAAAACAGAAATATATATATGCCTATCATAAGAAGTAATAATAAATAACTTTTTTAGCTTGTTATTACTTCCTTCGGCCAAGAACCGTCAACAGAAAAAATTATTAATTAATTAAAAATTATTAATTTATACTAAATGCTGTTTTAAACTTAAAAAATAAAAATATACAAAAATATATATGCATATGATAAGTAAAATTATAAAAAAGTAATAATAAAAATTTTTTTTTTGGTTTGTTATTACTTTTTTCCGGCAAATAAATGTTAAATATACAGATAGGTCACACCAGCGGAGATGTTAGCGATTTATTAGGTGGTTTGAGAGCAGCTTAGGTATTTTTAAAACTTATAGTGTAAAAATATTGAATTGTTATAAATATATATATATATATATATGCTTTCTGATAATACCTGGCTCAACGCTTAGAAATCTGATTTTTATTCAAAAAAAGAAATGTTTGATCATCTAAAATTATTATAGAGACCGTCTTAAAAATGAGTTATGTTTCTGATATTTGATAAGTAATTCACTAAGGTTAATAATAAAATAAAATAATACTGCAACCTGGTACGTTTAATTGGAAAATAATATATTTATAGCTAATACACGAGAGCCAGTAGAAAACTGATCGACTTGTCTTCCACGACTTGGCATTTTGATCGCTCGATATGCACAAAACATTGTGGATATTGTATGCATTAGTCATGTATGCCAAGTTGGGGTTTATACTATAAAGTTATAAGGTTTGTTTGCGTTGTTTACTAGCTTTTTTGACTGCACCGCCAGACATTCAAAACTGACCAAAGCCAGCCCTAGCCTTACTTTGAATACTAGTACATCTTCGTCTGCAATACTTTTATTCGTAAGAACTGAGATAAGAACTGCTGAGATAGACAATAGATTGTACACATTTTATGTGGATACCATCGGATGTAAAATTCTTTAATCTCGGTAATGGGACGCACCCATTACCGTTTTTTGCAATTCACATAATTTCGAGACATTTAAGCTCATCGTATATAGCCTTTATGATATTCAGCAGTTTAGTAGGCAGACTTCGTCTCAAAGTAATTGTCGTAAAAACGTTCGACCACGAATGCCAACCGCTTTTTATTCACAATATTGGGTAACTATAATTGGAACTACGTTAATTAAGCCTATGCAGGATCTGTTTCATTTGAAGCCCAACTGATTTTTGTGCAGAGTTTTCTCAGTAACAGAAGAGTTTCCGCGATCCTCTTCCTCCCACACTTCACGGAAGTAGGATATGTCGGTTAAATATATTCGGGATACATGTTACCAGTTCCAGGTATTCTTCAATTTTTTTAGGGACTGGATTTCTGAGACTTTAATTCCTAGTAAGCAACGAAACGATAGTAACCCAAAAGTGATGTTGATTGATATTTTAACGTAGGCATGCGAATACTTAAAGAATGGTTTACATCCTAAATTCTCCATCCATATCTTCATATGATGCCTACTTTTATATGTAATTGGGTATTTATATAACTCACAGAGAGGTATTGTTTATAAGGAACAGTTGTTCCAATTCCGTTTTTTTTGTTGTTATTTTAACTCCTTCTTCAAACTTCTTGGCTAACTTGCTTATTTGTTTACTAACTTGTTTATATGCGTATCCCATCCTTAGTTGTCTTTCTACTTCGGATCGGTATTGTTACCTAGATTAAGAAGGTGTTATTTTATTTGTTTACACTATTATTTAATTTACTATATGGTACATGATATATTCCTTTGAACTCGGTTTTTGTACTACCGTGGTCTGTACCTATTTATACATATAACAAAATATACAGTTTTTCACTTATTTTTATGGCTGTTCAGTATTGATATTTGGGAACGTACTTATTAAAAGCTGTATGTCTGTCTAGACATACTTTAAAGATTCATCTGTATTATTTCCACTTTTAATCTGAAAATCGCAATCACGATTTGGTGGTTGCTATCAAGATGACAGTCTCACTTTAAATTTCTTTGTAAATTAAATTATTTAAATTAAATTATTTGAATTATTTTTTAGTTTATTTGACAACGTCTTGTCTAGCTCTTGCTAGTAAAAAATACTGTGAAACACTAATATGTATAAAAACTAAAATTTGTTTGTCAAAATAATTAAAATGTAAGAAATATTTTAATAGTTGCCGACTCATCTGGTTTACGTCTTTTGGCTTGCTGTCACCAGTTGGGAGTAATAAGTGCCTTTATGTCATTGGTTACCTGGTCCTTCCACCGAAGATGCAGAAGTCTTGTATTGTGTTTTCTACCAGTGGAAACCGAATTAAACACCTTTCGACCCGGAATATTTTATTTCATTCGCACGACATTATCAAGCCAGCAACGCCGTTGAATTTTTATCGTTCTATCTAATTCGATACTATTTGCCAATACAAAATGGACCATAGATCTGTCTAAGAACTTTTCTCTCAGATTCTCCTAACGGCTTCTCATCACTGTTGTTAATTGTCCTTTTGCCGTATAAAGTGGAGTAGGAACGATAAGAGACTTGTAGAGCGTGATTTTTGTTTGTCGAGAGAGAGCTTTATTTTTCAATTGATTACTTAGCTCGAAGTGAAATCTGTTGGCAAAAGTGATTCTTCGTTGAATCTCTAGGCTGACGACAATTTTGATGTTAACGCTAGTTACCAAATAAACAAAGTTATGCATGATATAGTTGTTAACAGTGAAGTGGTCCAAGACACTCAAAAAATTTGTTTGTTGACAGAAAGTTCTTTGTTTACATCGGTTGCTTTTCTTAGTTAAAAATGGTAGCACTACCGGCGTGGGCGTTTTGTACAACAATATCAATGTCATCAGCATAAATAAACAGCAACACACTTCTCAAAAATATACCAGTACAGTTCAAATCTGCTGGTCAGATAATTATTTCCAACATTTGTCTGGCTAAGAGGGGTTTTTTCTAATTCCAACGCAACTGTTAGTTAGCCATTTGTAAGGATGTAGAAGCATTTTGCCTTAATACGGATTTTAGCAAGTGTTTCGTTAATTGGTATAAAGGTTGGGGCCTTTAGTATGTCAGCTTTTAGCTTACTGCAAATCCAACTCCAAGTGCAAATCCACTTTGTTGCATGGCAGCTATTGTTTATTCGCAACGTGCTCTTTTAGAGTATACTTGTTCCGTCTTTTCCTGGAGAGCAGTAATGGCAGTTTTGAATTTCTAGACACATTAATTAGATATAGGAATTCACTTCTCCGTAAATAGTTCAGTCATACCATACATACTCTTAAATCATGTTTTAGAAACCATTTGCCAGTGTCGTCAGTAGTATGCGGTGTTCTTATCTAAGGTTTCTTTTTCATTTTTATCGAAGTTATGTTTGTGTATCCTTGTGTATCCAAGAGGAAAAATTCACATCACATATTAGTTTATTATGCACAAATGATTGTATCTATCCATAGGGGACAACGCGGAGTCAAATTTGAGGAGAAAGTTACAAGATCGTGCTGGTTTTATGGAATGTATTTGATTCATTTACCAAGTAAAGGCAATCAGATACTTTACCCTGTATGCTCACTCCCTCCATATGTGGCACCACATTTCTAAAAAAGCAGTCATTTTTTCGTTACTCATTCGTAGGACTTATCCATACCAGCATAATCTTTGGGCTTTTATGTATAGTGTTATAGTTCGGCCTTCGTTCAAGACATTCAATTCGTCGTTATACCGTATACGATATGTGCCGTCTTCTAAACACACCGGGCCAAATATTTAGTGGCAGGTTGTTTTCGTTGGATTTAAGGACACATATTTCGCAGCCGTAGGTAAGAACCGGTCTAATGACAGTTTTATACATGCGCAACTTTTGTTCCTTTGATAGTAATGTTGATTTCATAAAATTGATATGTGCAAAATAAGCTCTGTTGTTTGAATACGATCTTGTATTGCAAGAGTCGCATCTTTACTTGTGCTGAGAACTACGCCCAGATATTTAAACTAATTGCCTATTCTGATGTGGCTATCTTGGGAAAACCTTGTCATGTATTTAGTTTTTTCTTCGTTTATTCTGAGGCCTGTTTGCTTTGTAGCTTGCTCTAGTTGTATGAAAACGCTTTGAAGAATTACCTTGTTTCTTGCAATAATGACGATATCGTCAGCATAGGCGCATATTTGTGTAGATTTATAAAATATTATACCACCTTGATCTATTTCGTTGATAGCTGCATGTAGAGTCAGATTGAATAGGAGCGTCGATAGAGAATCACCTTGACGTACGCCAGATTTTATTCCAAATTTTTCTGAAAGTGCACCATTCAGGACTCTGCTTAACTGGTTGCCATCGCTGCTTTTTGTAAAACAGCAAGCTAAGATTGTAGCAACTAGACTAAATGCTTTTTCACGCTGGTCTAGAATTGATACAGGACACGCGATCATATTGAATCAGGATCTAACAGCCCCGTTATCAATCGACTATCAATCGACTACCCAGACCAAAACCAGGGGTTTAAAGTTCTCATACCTATTAGAGAAGACTGGACCCTTGGCAGAGTATCTACCCCCAATATAATAGATATCTGCACAGATGGCTCGAAAATAGACAAACGAGTCGGTTGTGGCATTTTCTCGGAAAGATTAGGTCTTAGTGTCTCGCTTCGACTACCTAACTACTGTAGTGCTGTAAATCCATTGTGTTGTAAAATGGATCCTCGACAATCGTACCTCCGAAGAAAGTTATTCAATTTTCTCGGTTTGTTTGAATACGATCTTATAACATAGACTTCGATTTTTTCTATAAAATTTTTCTTACTGGCTAGTACACGTCACACCACATTCTTTATACCAGAAATCACTAAAAAATTATGCAAAATAAAACATTTAATAAAACAAATAAAACGATTCTATTTTATAAATAATTAATTTATTTGTATTTCAAATTTCAAGCAAATCGGTAGAAAATAATTGAAATTATTTTCGATTATCAAATCGGACATAATTGCATATGTCCGAAGCCCTGCCAATTGCGAAATTTGAATTAGAATCAATTGGCTACACAAACGATGCAATAGTGGCCTTATTTTAGCCTCTAAGATAGTGCCGCCATTTAATGTTAGTGTACTAAAATGTATGGTATTTGGTAATATTATTTTGTTAAATATAACTATTTAATTTATATTTTTTATTTTTGAAATAATATTTCGATAATATATATTTTTAAATTTCAGGATTTTCATTCAAGAAATTGAGGATGGGGTGCACATTTTTACAAATCTGTTTATTTATAAATAAAAACACTCTACTGTAGATATAAAGTTAATATGCATGAACAAATAATGAAGCAGCATTTTAGTTGGAAAAATAACGTCGATCAATTTGTCTTTAAAAATTGCTTAAATGATCAAATTTGTCGCAGAAATTTTAAATTAAGAAAAAAGTTGTGTGAATATAATCAAAAATATAAAGAAGAGAATGACAGTGAGTTAAAATCTATTGCAAAAACCGGAACGCTAATAATCAGTACTTCACCACCACATCGAACTTCCAATACATTTAGCATAAAATATTTTACGTCGTCATTACCAATAAGATTATCCAATTCATTTTCATATTCAACGCAATCGAATACAACGAAAAACTTCATGCTCTCACTTATTTTTAATTCTGTTCATGATTTAATAGTAAGAAAATCTCTTAAACAGATTACCGGAAGCCTGTTAACATTAATGACTTTGTTGGGAAATCAATATTACAAAACGCATTTGGAAAAAATAGTTTTGTTCACCACGCAAATGTTGCCATTTTGTACAGGAATAACTTGTAAAATTCAACTAAGACTACACAGTCTTTTGTTCGCTTGGTTTTGGTTGGTCTTCACGTTGCATATTGGTTTTGGATCGGCAGATCAAGGTAATATACATATATAAAAATAAAATTAATTAAATATGTCTATGTCATATATGTTAATATGTATGTTGAAAAAAAATTAAGTGTGATTATAGATTATGTTATAAGTACGAACATAAAGGGAAGGCTACATTTTGTGTTTTAAAAAGAATATAATATTATAATGTTAAATTAATTATTTTCAGTAATATTACTGGATACAACAAGAGAAGCGACACTAGAATGGACACGATATCCTTATGGACCTCAGGCTCAAACCCCAGGAGTACGTAAATTAAATACAAATTATTAAAAATTTAATTCTGATTTATCTAAATTGTTTAAGTTATATAAAATGTTTACTTTATTTTATCTTGTCCTAAGTTGGACAATATTATATTTACAAGCAATTCTTTACATCTAATTATATATTATTTAAATGCATTTAATTATATTTTACATCTTATCGACCTACCTACATTAGGGGCAGTTTGATCGTTAAAATCTTACAAAATCTTATATAATCTTTGTGTGGCATACCACAATTGATACAAAACGCTTGCTGACAAAAAAATAAGATTGCATGCATATGCTGAAGAAACAGTCATTTTATTTACATGTCCTCCCTATCTTTTCTCAGAAATCGGGTTTAAGCGTCAAGTAGGGTCTATCAGTTATTAACCTTTAAATTTTATATTCCATGTTATTCATATCATTTAACTTATTCAAAGCAAATTTGTCAATGTTCTTGTCAGCAAACATTTATGGAGAAATTTCGTTGAAGCATTAATGCACTTGTTGAAGCATAAATAACATAGCTTTGATTGACATAAAATAAAGCAACTATATATTAGTTGTGAACTTTATTGATCATATTCATTTATGATATTTAATTTATGATATAATTTGAATTCCCAAGTGTACTTAAGTTTGAAGTATTTATATTTATTTAATCGTTCGATGTTTCTTGTACTTTTGCAGGCATTTTTAGTAAAACGAAACAATAACTTGCATTTCACTTTACCTATATCAATAAAGTCTACTGAAAAGTGTTTAAGGATTATTTCATAATGAAATGAATTAATAAATGAAATCAAACTTCTGACATTAGGAGTTCCTCAACGGCCGACATTCTAGCCTTCATTCGGAAGGCGGAATGTGTTCTGTTCGGTTAGGGGCTGTTGCAGCACAAAAGATCAATCTGGTCGCAGTGCTCCGCTCCGTTGGGAGCTAGTACCACGTTGATTCCTATTCCTATTCATAAGAACATAATAGAACATTCACATTTAATACTTTAAGCAGTAATCAAACATATTGCAAGCTTCCTTTAATTGGCTACCTAATTCTGTTCTTGTTTTTTTTACTAAACAATAAAGAGATTGGATGCCGAAAAGCCCTTTAAATTTCTTTTGAAATGTATAATGTAAATCAGTTTATTAGAACAATTTCCTTGATTCCTATATTAACACAAAAAAAAAATAAATATCTTTTAAAAGTTAATTTGTTTTTGGAATGAATAATAAATCATAATAAGCATATTTTAAGAATATACAGTAAGCATATTTTATTTGTTTTCGTGTTAAACAGTGGGTTGAGGAGTCATTTACCGATTTTGTGAAAGGTATAAACTGGAGAAGTTATGTAGTGTGTGATGTTGCCTACCACAATGTTAACAACTGGTTGTGGTCGCCTTTTATTGATCGTGGTCCAGCCAATCGACTGTATATAGAAATACAGTTTACAATTCGAGATTGTTCTTTATTTCCAGGTAAGTCAAACCTCAAAAATATATTACTTTATGCACTTAAATTTTTTTTGGTTATTTAGGAAATGCATTGTCATGCAAGGAAACGTTTAGCTTATTATATTATGAATTTGATGCAGCAACACGTGAACCACCGCCATGGCAAACTGATAGTTATAAACTAATTGGTACGTTTATGATTAATTTATAAAAAACAGGAATGTATTTTATTTTTGTATAATTAATTTAGCTCGAATAGCTGCTGGAGAAGGGCGTTTTAATCAAAACTCAGATGTTGATATTAATACTGAAGTAAAAAGTATAGCTGTCACAAAAAAAGGAGTCTACTTCGCTTTTCGTGATCAAGGAGCGTGTATAAGCGTATTAGCTGTAAAAGTTTATTATATAACTTGCCCTGCAGTAACCGAAAATTTTGCACATTTCAATGAAACTCCAACAGGCCGGGAGATCACAATAATTGAAAAGCAGAATGGTACTTGCGTTGAAAATGCTGAACCCTATGAACCGCCCACTTACTTATGTAAGGGAGACGGCAAATGGACAATTCTAAATGGTGGATGTCGTTGCAAAGTAGGATTCGAGCCTGACAATATAAATAAAACGTGTAATGGTAAGGAAATTGTTATCGCTTTAATATTATTTCTACAAATGAAAGAATTAACTTTTAATTTTTATAACAATAATCTATTTAATAATAGATACATTTTTAGCAAAACTAAATTTTATATTTAGTTGATTTGACTGTAATGCTTCTTCATATATTTAATTTAACAATATTAAACATTAAAACAATATTTATTTTAGAATGTGCTGCTGGAACATTTCGTTCAGATGAAATTGCTAATTGCATTCAATGTCCGCCAAATTCAAACGCCTTAAAATCAGGAGCAGCATTTTGTAAATGTTTGCCAGGATTTTATCGACATCCTCGAGATGGTAAACATATGCCTTGTTATAAAGCTCCTGGACCTCCAACTAATCTCACACTGCTGTTCGTTGATCAAACAAGTGCAATACTTTCTTGGAACTCGCCTGTTCGAGACAGTGCAGAATCAGTATTCAATATAAAAAATACAAAATATCGTAGTGATATTATATATAAAGCGCGTTGTAGTTCTTGTTCACCGAATGTAGTATTTAATCCCAGTACTGATACTTTTAATGATACTAAGTTAACTTTGACTAATTTGGAAGCTGTTACAACTTACGTAGTACAAATTCATACTATAAATGGACTTTCTTATATAGAATCAGAAATATATCTAAACGATACTATTGTTGGAAACACTGCTGTTGAAACTTTAGGAATTTCAGATACTAAGCCTATAACTCCGAAACGTAGTCAACAATCAATAGACTTTGATAATATAAAAACTGAGTATGCTGAAATAAGTTTTACAACGGAATCAGCAATTTTGTCCACTGTTTTTAATGTACGTGTTTTGAGTACAACCAGTAATGAAGTGGATTTAGTTTGGGATAAACCTGTGCAGAGTGACGCACCAATTGAATTTTATGAAGTACGTTGGTTTCCAAAATCCGAACTAGATGCAATCAATAAAACTGCCTTAAATACAAGAGAAACGAAAGCACATATTGAAGGACTTAATGAAAATACAGAATATGGCTTTCAAGTACGGTGTAAAACTTTAAACGGCTTTGGTACTTATAGCAATATTGTTTATGCACATACTCATCAAGCTGTTAGTTCAGGTGATACATTGAATATATTTATGCTGTTACAAATGAAACAAATAACATATTTTCATTACATCCATTATAGTATATGACGATTCAATACAAATGCGTATTATTGCCGGGGCTACAGTTGCAGTTGTTTTTATATTAGTTCTTGTTATTGTAGCAACTGTTTTATTTTTGCGATCTAAACATCAAGATGATTTAGACAAAAAATCAAGTAACCATCTGCCATTGCCATTGGATTACGCAAGTAATGAAGGTAATTATACGTACAGAATTTTAAATAAAGCTCATTGTTCATGTTTCATTCATAATCTGTAGAAGACAAAACGATCTAATAATGTATATCAATTAAGAACATTAAGTAATAACATTTAGTAATCATTTCGCATTCAATATTTTATTATATTTAAATTTTTATGATACATTACAAAAATGTTAACATCAATGAGAAATACATCATTATTGTGTATAATTTAATGTCCTCGAATGCAAAATAATTTACAACAAATCATTTAAAAGTGTAAACATTATGATTTTAATGAAAACATTTTATATTATTTTATTACCTATCCAACAAAATGCAAGGACTCGTTGTTACATATAGTAAGTGTTGCGATTATTTCTTATAGTTTTCGGAGCGTTTATGATTTTAAATTACTATTATGCCTTAATTTTGTATAATTAATATAAATATTATTCAGTGCAGCATATTCAAAAAAATGTAGTAGTGGCGTTAAAAATTGTAATAAAATGAATAATTAATGAATACAGTTGCGCATATCCATTTGAATGCTCAATCATAACAATAATATTATGTTAATTCAGTAGATCTTAATAATTAAAGAATCATGAAATTGGTAATGAAATTGTAATACTCGTTCTTAAACATCTTAACAGTGGGCAAATCAAAGGCCGATTACTAGAAAACAGGACAAATTAAATAGAAATTTATTTTATAGACGTTTTCGTAAGACCAGAACCGAATAGAAAATAGAAGAACAATCAAAAATAATTTTGCAAATATTCTAAAAAACAATAACTTTTTCAACATAAGGTAATAAATATGTACATATGTTAGGTGAATGTAGTGAGAAAAACTATAACTACAAAAATTTTAATTTTTAAATAAATCCGCTTTGTTACTATATTCAAACCTATTTCAGTACAAAAACATTTTATGGATAAAAAAAAACTAGACCAAAGACCTAAAAACTGTCTAAAAAATTGATTGTTTTTCGAAGGAAGCTAGTTTGGGTAATCTAGTTTTTTTTACGCCGTCGATATAGGTTTATATTAACAGGGAGCCTCTCACGATATTTATTTTATTTATTTTTGTTTACCAAAGAATCATATCCGTCATTTATTGAAAATAAAAAACGTGATACATAAAATCGATATGAGTGCTTATACAGGGTGGGCAGTTAGAGAAACCGTTCAATTTGTACATATAACCAAGTAACTCTAAAAAAAAGCCACTTATTTTGAAAAAAACTAGTTTCCTAAATTTCGTTCATGAGGTTTGACTTAGTCTGTTATAGCAATGATTACAGTGAATGTCAATATTGGATAAACTATTTGTGTGATGACTCGTTTGTGATAGAATATCTTAATTAAATTGTTTAGTTTGAAATCTATATTATTATTTTAGGAAAATATTTAAAAGTTTTGATTGCATTTTCAAATGTTTTTATGCAGCCTTCTATGAATATAAATATAATATGTATTTAAGGGCCAGTTTTACAATATAGACTTACATGTCTAAGTTTAAGTCTTCGAAGTGATATTTGTAGTATTACTTGAGTTTTATTTTAAACTAAAGTATGTTACATTGTTACTTAAAGATCAGTTGATATAAAACGAAAATTATTTTAAATTTAATTATTAATTGTAGAGATATTTAATATATTTATTAAAAAATATGTAAATGTAAGAAATGTATTGTTTTTTGATAAATAACTTCCTTCATTTAATTAATATTTCTTAATTTGTTATTTATTTTAATTTGTTTAATTTATTTTTAGTTTTTAGTTTTAATTTTTGGCAAAAAAAAAAATAAAAAGTAGCTTACTAAATTATATAAAAATTAATAAAATGACCAAATAAATTTGTATTTATAAAATTTATGAACACATTCACAATTTACAATAGTAAAAAAATTAATAATGAAATATAAAAATAGAATATTAAATAAATATTGTTTCAGGTGCTTAAATATATGTTTTGAGCATATATTTCTTTTTAAAATATATTTCATACATTATACTAGTCATTACCCAAAAACAAGCTGGCATCGTTTCACACTTTAATTTACGCTGTTACTAGCGTGAAGAGGCATTTTTTGCCGCAAGTCAGCACTGATTCTAATGGTGCATATTAGTCAGATTATTTTAAGGTGCAGCTGTTTAGTTTGTATTTTGTACTAAATGTATTTTTTCGTTTTGAGTTTTTATTTCTTTATATTGGCATTTCGAATGGAAGTGTTCACTTTAATACCAGTTCAAATTATTGCTATATTTTTCTTCACTTACCTTTAAACAATATATAAACCATCAAACACTGCAATACTAAATAAAACTCAAATATAACTATAATATATAATATAACGTATGGTACTTAAGTAGTACATATCTTAGATAAAACTGGCCCTGACGTTTACATTTTTTTAATATATTTTAATATTTAATATATATATGTAATATTTTTTAATTTTATTTTGCGAAATTAGTTTTTCAAAGCAATAAATTTTAGCAATGCAATTTAATTTAAATATAGTGAAACTCCTGCTAAACGAAAACTCGTCTAGGCCGGATAATTATTCCAAACCATATTTTAATCATCTGTTGAAACAATTAAATCTCTTTTGACTAAACACCGCATTCGGTGTCGATCGGTTGTAAGTTGTCTTAACTGAGTCTTCGCCAAATAGGGGTTTCACTGTATTAAAATGTATAAATGAGTTTTTGTTTACCAAATGTTTTTATATATTTACAACTTAATAGCATGAATATAGATTTTGATTATATGTTTATATGTGTATGAATATAGAAAAATAATTCGAAAAGAAGTTAAAAGTTGTTGTGGTTTCCGTATAAGCAATACTATATATTTTTTTCGTATTTTATGTTTTAGTATACTGAAGTCAATTTGAAAACGAATATAATTTTTTTTATATAATAAGTATTCGTTATATATTTTTGTTTTTTTTATTTTGTTTTTTTTTTAACATTATATTTTAATGATTTAATTTTTTAGTTCATGCTGTGGATACTACACCAATAGTTAAAACGATTCAATCAAACGGTAAATTCTTTTTCTTTTTATACATGGAAGAATTTTATTTTGTACTCGACTGTAAAGTTATTAACATAATAATTCGCTAATTTATAAAGTCTAATTAATCTACAATTAATTAATTACTTCAAAACCGAATATATATGGGTGTTTTTTTTGCATGATGCATGAGGTGCCATAACTGTTTTTAATAATATTTTTTGATCAATTTTAATATTATTATTATTTTATTATAATTATTATTTTATTATAATTATTATTTTATTATAATTATTATTTTATTATAATTATTATTTTATTATAATTATTATTT